GCTCCGGCGCTGGCCCAGGGAGGCGACGACGGGCCTCCTCTGGCCTCCCTGGGGCCACAGCGTTCTGGCGCAGGCCCCAGGAAGTTGGCAACGGGCCTCCTCTGCTCTCCCTGGGGCGACAGCGCTCTGGCACGAGCCAGCAACAAGTCTCCTGGGGCCGCAGCGCTCCCGTGCGAGCCCCAGGGAGCCGGTGACGGGCCTCCTCTGGTCTCCCTGAGGTGGCAGCGCTCCGGCGCGAGCCCCAGGAAACCATCAACGGGCCTCCCTGGGGCGGCAGCGCTCCAGCGCTAGCCCCAGAGAACCAGCAACAGGCCTCCTCTGGTCTCCATGGGGCTGCAGCGCTCCGGCGAAGCGATACCTATTTGTCTACTTGCAATTTCTTGCTTTCAAACTGCTAGGTTGACAGGAGCTGGGGCCAGAGACGGGAGCTCACTCCATCACAGAGCACTAGGATCTCGAAGTGCCGAGCTACGGACCTTCCAGTCTGCAGCTCAGCGTCTTAATCTCTGAGCCAATATTTGTGAATTGCCGAGCTACAGACCTTCCAGTCTGCAGCTCAGCATCTTAACCTCTGAGCCAATATATGTGAACCCCCCGAAATAACATTTTTGTTTGCACACCCCTAATACATTTCAGCTCTTCATATTTGTTTTTCTTTGTTTTTTTAAAAAGTGTATCTACATTTTGTTGAAAGCTAGAATAAAATTCTGAATTTAGAGATCTTGGTAGATTCTTGGATATGGGTTTGTGTTTTAAAGAGCGTTGTTAAAAATATAAAAAGGAATGTGTATATATTGAATGTACTGTAATTCTGGCTGGAGGTATACTTTCACTTAAGCAAATAGTTTGCTTATTTCCAGTAATTCACACTCTTTTGAGTCAAACTCTAGGTCTTATTTTAGATTTACTTGGCTATGAATTATTTTTGGACTCTTTGGTCTGTTATCTAAAGGACAGCATTTGTGTTAACAGATGTGCAATTAATAGTCAGTCTGCAAGAAAGTTGTTGCATGCTGGAAATTATGGGAAGCTAGTTTTAATCTGGAATTTAGTTTACATGGCCAAGCTAACATACTGATATAGAAGCATTGGAGGTTTGAATATTGAATCTGATAAGTTAATTGAAAAGGGCTCTGCCTTTGTAATGGCCTGGAATGATAAAGTAAGAGGTGGGGCTTGACTATCTTTCTGGTATTAAAAAAGAATGTTTAAAAATACCTACATCCCAGAAATTGATTCAAAGTTGTATATCAGACCATCTATCGTTTGATGTTAAAAGCAAGTTTGAACTGAAATAATTGATAACTGTTGTGATTTCTCCCCCCAGAAATACTGGAGAGGATATTGTACCAGAATAAAGTATCTGCGGCTGCAATATCATACAGTCCTCATACAAGCAAGGATAAGAATGTTGCTTTCACGGGCTGCTTATAAAAAAGTTCTCTGGGCTGCTCTCACCATTCAAAGGCGCTGGCGGGCTTCATTGAGGACAAAAAATGATTACCAAAATTACCAGAATTTAAAGGTGTCAGCATTTGTGATTCAGTCTGCATTTAGAAGATGGAAAATGAAACAGAAAGTGGAAGCTGAGCTGCTATTGCTAGAGACAGAACTGGCAAAAAAAACAAGAGCTGCTGTTGTAATTCAGTCATGGTACAGGATGATCAGAGACCGAAGCAGGTATTTGCATGTCAGGCAAAGTGTTATCCGGATACAAGCCTGGTTCAGATGCATTGTAGCTAAATTCGTTTACAAACAGAAGAAAGCAGGTGTATTGGCTATTCAGAAGTATTACAGAGCATACAGACTGGGAAAAGCTGAAAGGGAAACGTATCTGCAGAAATGTGCAGCAATAATAATTCTTCAGTCTGCTTTTAGGGGATTGAAAGCTCGTTTATTATTAAGGCGGATGAGAGCAGTTTGTATCATTCAGTCATTTTGGAGAATGAGACAAGAGAGGCAAAGATTTCTGCATGTGAAACATTCTGTTATTGTGGTACAGTCATACGTGAGAAAACAACAGCAGCTAAAAAGATACCAAGCAATTAAAGATGCTGCCTCTGTTGTTCAAGCCAGATACAGAGCTTACATGGCTTCTAAAAAAGCAGTTACTTCTTACCAGAAATTACGCCATGCTGCTGTCATTTTACAATCTGCATTCAGAGCAAGACAAGCTAGGATGAAGGTCAACATGCTGAAATCTGTAATAAAAATCCAGTCCTGCTTTCGTGCTCATGTTGCCCGGAAAAGATTTCTAAACTTAAAACGTGCTGCTGTGAAAATTCAGGCTTTTATAAAGATGAGGCAAGCATGTAAACGTTACTGTGCATTAAGAGAAGCAGCCATATATGTCCAGCAAAGGTACCGTTCCCAGAAACATGCCTTTCAGTTGAAAGAAGACTATGCAAAACTTAGACAAGCTTGTGTAAAAGTCCAAGCTGTTGTACGAGGAAATCACACTAGAAAATGGGTGAAGAGAAGACAAGAGGCTGCGATTGTACTTCAAGCCCAATACAGAATGAAGAGAGAGAGGCAACACTATCTGAGCCTGCGTAGAGCTTCTGCTGTTATTCAGATACACTATCGTGCCTACAGAGTGGGAACCCATCAGAGGCAGAGCTTCCTGCAACTCAAAAAGTCAACTGTCAGTTTGCAAGCAGCCTGCAGGGGTTATAGACTGCGTAAAACACTTCAGCTTCAAAATGAAGCTGCTCTCAAGATCCAGGCAGCTTTTAGGGCATACAATGCAAGAACGAAATACCAAATCATGGTTCAAGCTTCCATTATGATTCAGAGATGGTATAGGGCTTCCAGAACAACATCCAAAATCCGACAAAGTTTCTTAAGGACTAAAGCAGCTGTTATTACCTTGCAGGCAGCTTCCCGTGGCTGGCTAGTAAGGAAACGTATTCAGGAACAGTGGGCTGCTGTGATTGTTATCCAGTCTGCCTTTAGGAAGTATAAAGCTCTGAAAAAGTTCACAATGACAAGAAATGCTGTTCTAACACTTCAACGGCATTACAGAGCTCTAATTTCTGGTAGAGAACAACGGCAGGCATATATTCTGCTCCGTACCTGTATCATACAACTCCAGGCAGCTTGGAGAGGGAGTATGGTAAGAGAGCAAATAAAACAACAACATCAGGCTGCAGTAGTCATACAGTCCTACTATAAGATGCACATCAGTCGAGAAAAGTTCAAACGTTTGAGACTGGCTGCTGTGTCTATTCAGAGATGGTATCGTGCTGTTTTCCTAGCCAGCTGCCAAAGGCAGGAGTACCTTGCACTAAAGGAAGCAACGGTTAAAATCCAGGCAGTTTACAGGGGTGTGAGAACCAGGCGAAAACTTCAATGCATGCATCATGCTGCTGTCTGTATTCAGGCAATGTTTAAGATGCATCAAGTTCGCACTAGATATCAGGCAATGAAGCTAGCAACAGCTGTAATTCAAGTAAGATACAGAGCTCTTTGCAGAAGCAGACAGGAACAGGCAAAGTATCTGGAGCTAAGAGAGGCTTCCGTTATCCTTCAGTCTGCCTACAGTGGCTTGAAGGTTAGACAAGAGCTAAAAACTTTGCACCAGTCTGCAGTTTCTATTCAGTCATTTTATCGAATGTACAAGCAGCAGAAATCTTTCAGACAGTTAATTACAGCGGCAAAATTGATTCAGCAGTGGTATCGTGGTTGCAAAGAGCGAAATGTTCAGATGGACAAATTCAGGAAGATAAAGATTGCTGCCCTCCAAATTCAATCTGCATTCAGAGGCATGAAAGAAAGGCGCCGTTTGAAAAAGAGGCATGCAGCTGCCACTACTATTCAAAGGAGATTTAGAGGTTTTCTTCAGCGGCAAAGTTTCATTTCTCTTAAAGCAGCTGCTGTGACCATTCAGAGGAGGTATCATGCTACAAGACTAGCAAAACAGCAGCGCGACAAGTATCTTCACTTCTGTAAATCTGCCGTCATCGTGCAGTCTACCTTCAGAGGCATGTTGGCCAGGAAACATGTGAAGAGAATGCATGTGGCTGCTACCATTATTCAAGCAACTTTCAGAATGCATAGAGCACATAGTCATTACAGAGCTGTGAAGCTTGCTTCTATCATAATACAGCAGCACTACAGAGCATACAAAGAAGCTAACAACACAAGAGAACTATACTTGAAGCAGCGCCACTCTGCTTTAATTCTTCAGGCAGCCTATAGAGGAATGAAAACGCGACATATCTTAAAGAAGCGGCATAGTGCTGCAGCAGTCATCCAAAGTCACTTTCGCATGCACAGGCAACATTGTTCCTACAAAAAAGTGCAATGGGCAGCCATAACTGTACAGACCAGATTCAGAGCCTATCAACTGAGCAAGCTGGTAGTCCAGCAGTACTCCTCTGCTGAGAGAGCTGTCACTAGCCTTCAGATGGCTTCTTGCACGATGAAGGAGGCAAGCTGTCAGGCAAGGCATCATGCTGCTGTTGTGCTTCAGAGGAGTTTTAAAATGTGGAGAGACCGTAGAAGATACCTTGCTTATCAAGCAGCTGCTGCCGTCCTTCAGAGACGATACAGAGCACTGATTTTGTCCAGAAGGCAAGCTCGAGAATATCTTTGCCTTCGTGCAGCGACTGTTTGTATTCAATCTTTCTACAGAGGTTTTAAAATACGGAGAAAAGTTCGACACATGCATTCTGCAGCAAGAGCAATTCAGGCAGAATTTAGAATGTATCGGGAGAGGCTCTCTTACCAGAGACTGCGGCACGCTGCTGTCACCATCCAAAATTACTATCGTGCTTACCTAAAAGGGAAACATCAGCGAAAGGTATACCTGGAGGTATGGAAGGCTGCAGTGGTGATTCAGGCCTCTTACAGAGGTATGAGAGTTCGGAAAGAACTGAGAGCCATGCACATCTCTTCAAGTGTCATCCAGTCTCTTTACCGTATGCATGTGCAGCATAAACGTTATAAACAGCTATGCTGGGCTGTGATAACGATTCAGTCTGCTTATCGTGGAATGGTAGCACGCAGAAAAGCAAAAGAAGTTGACATGGCAAGGAAAATTCAGCCTTATGTTCACATGGCTATGGATAGTGAGATTACTCAGTACAAAACTGCAGCTGTTACATTACAGGCTCTTTACCGGGGAAAGAAAGCCAGAGTGCGGTACCAGAAATACAGGAAAGCTGCTATTGTAATACAACAGTATTTTCGATCTTTCTTGGCCATGCAACATCAAAGAAGGGCTTACTTACAAACTCTGAGGAGCATCGTTGTTGTTCAAGCGACTGTAAGAGGATTCCTTGAACGTCGAAGGGTTTGCCGAATAAGAAGTGCAGTAAAAATGCAGGTATTTATCCATACTATTCTAGTGCTAATTGCTGGTAATTATGATAATATATGTCAGTACATACAGACCCACGGTTAAAATCAAAACTAGGCATAGGGATGGCTATGGGGCTGTTGTAACAAAGATATTAGGTGGTCTCCTCCCTCCAGTTCTAACCCTGAAAATTACTCTGTGGCTCTCCCAATCAAATTACTTTCTTCCCCCGTCCAATATCTGAAACAAGAGATTTATGTGTCAAATCCATGTCTACTAAAGAAAGAACACAAACATTCTCTGTTAAAGTTAGTGGAATTTTACAAATTCTTATATTTGGCTACATTATAACAAAACTGTTCTGATTAGGAAGTATAAATGAAAGCTGCTGTCAAAGTGTAGCTTGTATAAGTACATGCTTGTCAGTAGTGTTTTTAATAGTTACAGCCAGGGCTATTTTTGGGCAGGAACGCACAGGAACGGAGTTCCGACTGGCTCTCAAGTTGGCCACACCCAGCAGGAACTTATTAGCATAATAGGCCACAACCAACAGCAGGAACTCATTAGCATAATAGGCCACACCCAACAGCAGGAACTCATTAGGATTGGCTACATTAGGGGTGTGTGGCCTAACATGCAAAGGAGTTCCAGCTCCAAAAAAAGCCCTGGATTTTGACAACAAACAAGGTAAACAGAATAAGAAGCAAAAGGTGGGTGTGGCTGGATGACCACACTTCTGGTAACACGGGGAGGCTAATGAGCCATGCTGTCGTGGGTGTAGCCTAATATGCTAATGAGTTCCTGCTGCTGGGTATGGCCTATTATGCTAATGAGTTCCTGCTGGGCTTTTTCTACAAAAAAAGCCCTGGTTACAGCAAGTGGAATTAAGGTAGGTAATTCATGATCATTAGGTAACCCTGCAGATATGGATATGGTACTATTGGCCAAGTTACCAACTCTTGTTTTCTTTCAGTATAAAATGTAGATCACTTTTATATACCATGTATCAGGCTCCAAAGGGGGATTGGATTTGTGGAATCCCACTGTTTTCTGCTTTCCATTCTTTGTTAGAGCAACAAATCTTATCTGGAGGGTTTCTCCACTGTGTAAAGCTAACTATTGCTGCTTTTTCCGCCATATCCTTTCTAAAAGAATAATTCTATCAGATGTATTTTTAACTTGGATCAGTGAATATGACAGTTGCTTTAAACAGGATTTTAGGTAAAGGTAAAGGTTCCCTTGCTCGAAAGCCAGTCTAATCACAGCTGCCTTTAGTGTTCAAGTATAGCTGGAGTTGATAAATGTTAAAACTCAGTGTAAATCCTTACTAATTCTTATGCAGACTTACTGTTATGATTCAGTCTTCCTGCAGGAGATATATTAATCAAAAACAGTTGAAAAAGTGACTGTATGGCCAGTATTTTTTGATTTGGAAAATTAAGGGCAGCAATACCTGATCTAATTAAATGTAACTGATTATGTAACCTGGGAGGAAAGAACTTCCAGTTGTTGTAGATTTTCTGGGCTGTATGGCCATGGTCTTGGCATTGTAGTACCTGACGTTTTGCCAACAGCTGTGACTGGCATCCTCAGAGGTATAACACAGAAAGATGGAGTACTCTACTCCATCTGTCTGGTTGTACTCCATCTTTCTGTGTTATACCTCTGAGGATGCCAGTCACAGCTGTTGGCAAAACGTCAGGTACTACAATGCCAAGACCATGGCCATACAGCCTGGAAAACCTACAACAACTAATGAACTCCGGCTGTGAAAGCCTTTGACAACGACTTCCGGTTAAATGGAAGTCTTCCTTTTGAGAAAAACAAAACTTGCAAATCCCTACACTGGGCAGCCTAGTTAGACTACAGTCCTAGTGGGAGTTGAACTACTGCTTACTGATGATCAGTATAGAAGCTCTAGCTTCTGCATCACCTTACTGCATCACCTCATGTTATGTGAAAGATCCAATGTAATTCTGAACAAAAAGTAGGGATTGAATTGGAATCAGGGTGCAGCAGGTTTTTTCCAGATAGAAATCCCCCTAACCTGTTACTAGTCCTGGTAGGTGAAAAAAGGAAGGTACAGTAAGGGTCCCTGTCTCTAGCCTGTCACGGCTAGTGTCTGCTCAAAGTGGTGGTGTGGGGGTGAGGTCTATTAAGGTAGTTTTAAAAAACCAGAGTTCTCATCTCATATAAGTTTTTCTTATTCCCTGCTTTTATCCCCAATGGGGACCCAAAGTGGCATACAGTATCATTCTCCTCTCCTCCATTTTACCCTCAGAACAACCACCCTGTAAGATAGATTTGACTAAAAGAAAGTACCTGCTCCAAGGCCACCTACTGGGCCTTTATGACAGACCAGGGATTTGAGCCCATGACTCCCACATCCCGGTCCAGCAAGACTAACCACTCCAAAACACTTGCTGCTAATCACTGCAGTAACTTTTCTGGGTATTGAGTAGTCTTTCTCAGGAAGCCTCTTCCCAGTTTTCCCATGTAGACTCTGCTAGAAGGACAGTGTAATAGAAAATGTTTTCTGCTGAAGTTTTTAAAGCTTTCATATATGTGACTGTGTAGAATAGCCATTCTAAAACTGTCTTTCTGCTCTGAATATCTGTTTGGATTGCTTATTTATTTTATTTCCTCCTCTAGATATTGGAACAGAAATGGCAACATTCCCTACTTCATTTTGCAGCTTGTGCATATCATCATCTTTCTGCTGTTAGAATTCAAAGGGCTTATAGAAGTCATCTTCTCTGGAAGCATGAACAGATGCAACTTGCTTCTGTTTTGTACATTCAGGTTAGTTTGCTGGAAACAAAGGCTTTTTTTTTACATTTCTTCTATTAAACATGTTCAGTTTTCTTTGTAAAAATGTTCATTTCTCCATAGATTTTCTTGCTTAAACTTGTACTGAAGCTCAAACATATACGTAGATGGTTGATTAAACTCTTCGTCAAAGATGCAGTCACCTGCATAATGCAGCCACATGGAAAATCTGCTCTTTGTCCTCTCTCCCTCAAAGTAGTAATGTACATTTGTTTTAAATAGAGATGGTATCGTGCAAAGGTACAGAGGAGGAAATTCCTGCAGTATCGTGAGAAAATTATTAAAATTCAGAGAGTGGTGAGGAAATGGATGAAGCATAAAAATGCAAGTTCAAGTAAAATCCAGACAGGTGTGAGCCAAAAGACCTTAAATAATGGAATAACTAAATTTCAGGTAAATAAACATACTTGAGAAGTGCTTTTCTTTGAGCCATGGAATGATGACTAAAACTTCTATTTTGTTACTTGGATGTATCATGTGCTTTTTTTCCTCTGTGGGTAAAGAAATGAAGGATGTGGGTACTTAGAAGGATGGGTTTCAGCTTTTGGATTTTAAATTTAGTTCAGCCTAGGTAAGCTTCCTCCCAGAAAAGATCTTGTGAACTCCATCTAAAATAAATCTAGCATATTAGTAAAGTGGTTCACCAGCCATTCCATCCAAACCTACCAGTTGCTCAACTGTCATTTGTTTCTCATTAGTTGGTCAGTGCTGACTGGGGGGGGGGAAGCATCTCTTTGAGCACCAAACAGGTGATGATGTTAGGACTCAAGAACACTGTGGGCACACCGAGGCCTTCTTCAGGACTCATAATATCTGATTAAGCCATGGCACTCCAGGCAGGGTGTTGCATCCGCAGCTCATCCATTGCTTGGCACTGATTGTAGGGGGGGTGTTTCCCTCCGATCAGCACCAAACAGCTGGTGGAGCCTGCACAGGAGCCCTCTGGGTGCTTCCTGACTCTATCAGCTGTTAGGCACTAATTAGAAGGTCACTCCCCTTCCACTGGTCCTGAACTGCTGATAGAGCTAGACAGCCCTAGGTGGGCTCTCAAGTCTGGGCACACTCTGGCTCAGCACCAAACAGGTGATGATGTTAGGACTCAAGAGCACTGTGGGCACACCGAGGCCTTCTTCAGGACTGACTGATTAAGCCATGGCACTCCAGGCAGGGTGTTGCATCCGCAGCTCATCCATTGCTTGGCACTGATTGTAGGGGGGGTGTTTCCCTCCGATCAGCACCAAACAGCTGGTGGAGCCTGCACAGGAGCCCTCTGGGTGCTTCCTGACTCTATCAGCTGTTAGGCACTGATTAGAAGGTCACTCCCCTTCCACTGGTCTTGAACTGCTGATAGAGCTAGACAGCCCTGGGTGGGCTCTCAAGTCCGGGCACACTCTGGCTTCGTCATCTGCTCCGAGCAAAACAGCTAGTGAGGCTAGAGCAAGCCTCCAGCTCAGCTGCCCATGAGTGCTGCACAGCTGGTGCCTTTTTGTCTCCAGTTGCTGCCATTGCTTCCCCCAGGGTCTCCTTACAAGACAGGCCAAAGGGCTCACACTTCTCTTGAGAAGGATCTCTTGCCAACAAAAAGATTTTCTGCCCCTGCACTTAAAGGATCATCCTGTAACTTTGTGTGACTAACCTTCATTTCGTACACCTGTGATCATGGGATCACTTAGAGAAGTTATTGGGTCATTACACAGACACTATTTCCATGTGCACTTCCCAAATGTTCACTCACTGTAATATCTGAATTATCCTTTTTTTATTCTTTTGCTGGTCTTTGAACATAATAATTAGTTCATTCTGGGCTTGTTTTTAGGCTTTGTGGAGAGGATATTCGTGGAGGAAAAAGACTGACACTGATGAAACTAGAGCTCTGCGCGATAGTTTGGTGATGGCCAATAAAGAAAGCAAGGAAGAGATGAAGCTATGTAATAGAACTGCACTTGCCATTGATTACCTTCTAAAATACAAACATTTTTCATACATTCTGGCAGCTTTAAAAGACCTGGGTTAGTAATACCAAACTTGTAAAATCATTTCTCTTTAGTGATATATAAACAACCAGTCTTTTTGATTTGGTGTATATTAATTGTACAAAGGCCTCTCATTTTGTTCTGAGTTAAATCTTTTGAGAAACTAATTATTGGTAATTTTATGACCAACACATTTCAAATTCAGAAGAATTCTTCTTTACCCCACCATTGTATTTTCAGCCAAAAACTCATAATATCTGAATCTTGTTGAGCCACATTTCATTAACAGAGTGCAAGGAGCATTTGTTAATGCAGCTTTTGCTTGCTTTAGGGCAAGCGAGCTTTCAGTGCTTGGGAGCTACTAGTCTCTCACAAGAAATTATTGGAAGAGGGAGTATAATTTATTCCTTGAAGCCTGTGATTGAATTATATCTTCTGTGGGTACTTTGCATTCTAGTTTGAGGTCCCAAGTTGGGAACTGATCAGATACGGCAGGTTGCTGGTGAGCGTTACCCTAGCATGGGCTGGAGTGTTAGTGGTAGATGCCTGTAATTCCTATCCTTGAGCACACTGGGGTGGATCCAATCACTCTGCTCAGCAAAGATAGAAGCCTTTTTCCAGCTTAAGTGACTTTGAACAGAAGAACCGCTTAAGCTGGAGAAAGGTTCCCCAGGCTGGAGGAAAACTTTGAATTTTCCTGAGCAGAGTGGCTGGATCCATTTATTGTCAGGAGTAGATGATACGAGTGCCAAATCATTCCCTCATATGTGGAGCTTCCTCTCCCCAAGGTTGCTTCAGAAATTGGGTTTGGAAAAACAGCCATTCTCCCCCTCCCCAGAATAATTATTTCTGAGCTTGCAATTTAGTTTGGAAAGCCTAATAGTGCCTCTGAAGATACCAGGAAAGAGAGTCTCTAATTTATTTTTCTAGCATACTTTCTCACTGTTGCTCTTATTTGAAAATATATACTGACCACAGTGGCTTGTTTTCTTTCTCTAGAGGTTGTAACCAGATTATCTCCTGTTTGCTGTGAAAGTATGGCCCAAACCAAAGCAGTTGCCACTATTTTTACTTTGATTCGGAGCTGCAATCGCAGTGTCCCTTCTATGGACGTTATCAGATACTCAGTTCAAATCCTGCTTAATTTATCAAAGGTAATTTTTTTTTTTTTAATAATTGGTTTGTATTGGAAAAACCTGCTTCTCAAAACAAGTTAGTGATTCAGTGATACACATTACATTTTCCGCAGTTTTGGGGTAAAGTTTATCTAGAAGAAGAAGAGATTGGATTTATACCCCGCCCTTCACTTCGAGTCTCAGAGTGGCTTATAAACTCCTTTCCCTTCCCTTCCCCTCCCCCCAACAGACACCCTGTGAGGTGGGTGGGGCTGAGAGAGCTCTGACACAAACTGCTCTTTCAGGAACAGCTGTGCCAGAGCTTGTGACTGACCCAGGAGGTGCAAGTGGAGGAGTGGGGAATCAAACCCAGTTCTCCCAGATTAGAGTCCACACACTTAACCACTACACCAAACTGGCTCTCTATTTCATTATGGTTTTGAAACAATGAAACAATGAAAATGTATATGAACAAAGTACAGCTATTCAATAGTTCAGTCATTAACTTGGATCCAACAAGGTATTTCTGCTCATGGAAGGATTTCCTCCCAAGGAACATGACTTTCTCACCTCTCCCTTCTGACAGCAGCCCAAAGTACCCCCCAAGTATTCTTCACAGGAGGAAATCCTTTTGTCTGAAGAAAATCTCCATTGGATCAAATCCTTTTGTTTTGGAAAGAGCAAGAAAGTTTTTCCTTTGGATATTGGAATTAGGTCTGCTAGTCTAAACTCTAGTCATTCTTCACAAACAAACAGGTTTGGCTGTTCATTTAAATTTTGGCTTCATATATGCACATAGGATTAAATTTACAATTTAGTGTTTAGCTCAAGATGGATAGCCATGTTGGTCTGTCTGTAGGAGTAGAAAAGAACAAAAGTCCAGTAGAACCTTAAAGACTAACAAAATTTGTGGCAGAGTAGGAGCTTTTGTGAGTCGCTGCTCATTTTAGTGTATCTGTGAGAGTGAAATCCAAAAACATCTGGTGTTCTTTTTTATGACTTGGTCTAGACACTGGTCTATAACGTAAAAATGAGCATAAGTGAACTTCTGTGTTTAGAAGTTAAGTTTCTGTCTAAAATCACAAGCAAACTGAGCCAGGTGATCCTTTGCCCATGCTGCCCATGTTTGTTTTTTACACCATGTGGAAACCTTTTCCTGTAGGTAAGCGTAACTGGGCATGTTTGTTCTTCCATCGTCATACTGTAAAAATGATTTGCTTCTACATGTCCGGTGTAAGGCTTGTAAATAATGATATCAAGTAGTTGGACACCGTCCGCTATAGTTGTTATGCCTTTATAGCTCAAAGATAGGATTCTTAAGGATGTACTGTAAATGAGCAGTGTGTTTCTCCTTTTCAAGTATGAAAGGACAACTCAAGCTGTTTATGCAGTGGAAAATTCAGTAGATACATTGCTGGACCTACTTCAGATGTACCGTGAGAGAGCTGGTGACAAAATTTCAGAGAGAGGTGGAAGCATTTTTACGAAGACCTGCTGCCTGTTGGCTCTTCTTTCCAAAGATTCAACCAGAGCATTTGTAAGTCTGATACATTTTTGCTTATTTCACAGAGCTGACTTGCTTCTAAGATGATTTTCAGAGTAATGTGGGAGACATGGGGAACAACCAGCCTTGCAACTGTTAGTGAGCTGATCTGGCTGGTAGTGTATAGCCAATCAGTACAAATTGCATTTTATCTTGTACACAATATAAAGGGCTTCTGTCAAGTTGCAGGAGCTGATATTCTTTGCTTTTACAAAGACTGCATTTAATGTACAAATAACTCAAATATCAAAAATCTGGGTCGGATCCACGCACACTTCTTTTTCTCTGGCAAAGAAACAAGTTAGCATGCCCATTCATTAGTAGCTTGTGCACCCAGTCAGTAGAGGGACAGGAAAGATTAGATTTCCTTTCCTTTCATTTATTAGCTTCATTGACCAGAGTTCTTAAGCCAAACGTACAAACAGCTACTATAAGACACATGACATATAATTACAAGATAATTTAGACCAAACGTTTAGACCAAACGTTTTTACAAGAAAACTATTAAACATACTCACAAACAATATTAATAGACAACATTTTATAAACTTCCAGAATGATTAGCTTTAAAGGTTTTGATACTAAATGCTACCCTTAGAAGTTGACCACTAATTCTGCTGCTGATCTCTCACTTAGGAAAACTGATAGCCTTTTTTTAGCAGGGTGAGAAATCTGGAGCTTGGTTTCTGGATATTTTGACATCCCTGAACTAATATTGTGTTGACTCTGTGCATTATACATATAATAAAAGAGATTCTATCTATCAAGTACTGCTCATACCGCTATTGCCTTAAGCAGAAGTTAGAACCAAAAATTATTTTTAAAGACCTTACTCAGTATTATTTATCTTATATTTGATTATTGTGCCTAGGAAATTTTGCCACTGAAGAGGGTGACACGATAATTTGTAGCCGATAGTAGACATAAGACCTGGGCTCACACATTTAGCAATTCTGTATTTTTTTAGTAAAGAGGTGACTAAATTACCCTCAGCTCGTTGAATATAGGGCACTTCATAATTATATATTCGATGGATTCAATTTTATCATATGAGCATCTGCATCTTCTATTAGAGTATTATAACAGACGTACTTGTAACATCCAACTTACACACTTTTTAATTTGCCTTATAATGTCTTTAGTTTCTGTATTCTTAATTATATCATTTGTTATTCCTAGGCATTTCATTTTCTTTTCCAATAGCTGATCCCATTGGCTATAATGTTTATCTGCCTGGATAAGCTCAAATAGATTAGATCCTCCCTCAGATTTTAAAACCTTTACTTTGAAGAGAAATGCTTTAATCCAAGTCCTAGCTTCCATCGATAGTTTGCCTAGTTCCGCTCTCAGTGCTACGCCTGAGACACATCTGGGAGTAGTCAATAAATGTTGGAAAAAGTTGTACTGGATGGGATCAATTTTTTTCAGAAGCGGCTTGAATCCAAATTTCCACACCATACAGGAATTGGTTTAGAACCTTAGCATTAAATAGCTTTATGACTGAGGGGACAAATTCACCTCCTGATGAGTAGAAGTATTTTACAGTTGTCTTCCCTACTTTCAAGGCTGTGTTCCTTGATAAATCCAAGTGTATTTTCCGTGTAAGAGATGCTTCAAAGTGGATTCCCAGATATTTGAATTGATTGACCTGTTCCATAGGTTGGCCTGCTATGTCCCATTTGAAGATTTCCTCCTTTTTCCTTTTGGTGGATACTATGACTTGGATTTCACTGCCTTGGTGGACAAGTCCTCATGATAATAGTAAAGCTCGAAATTTTTTATCAGCTTGTGGAAGCCCACTATTGAACTAGACATTATACTGTGTCATCTGCATATAGAAGGACTGGAACTTCGTACTTAGATAAATATGAAAGATGATCTTCAAGAAATTACATATAGTAAATGTATTGAAGGTTTTCTGGTAAAGGAGAGTAAGGACAATATGGGGTGCAAGGGATGTAAACATTTGGAAATGAAAAACAGTGACATCTACTATGGCAATGAGAAAGCAAGATTTAAGTAAACCAGAAGGTGTGATTTATCAATGTAAGGGTGAGGATGGGGTGACTGACAAGAAAATGATGGGGGTGGTAATCCTGTATCAAATTTGGATCTCCTTGCTCACCTTTTGATCCTTGATAGTAACAAAACAGTACTGAACATCTTATCCTATAATGGTCGAGTGATAAGTTGGATGAATAAATGGGCGTTTAGAGAACATTATCTTATGTGCTACATCTATCTTACCTACTACATAAACACCCATCTCCCATTGACAAAATTTGTGGAAAGAATTCCAGGTTTCCTGAGGGAGGATAGAGTCTGACTTAATTTTTACTCTCCACAGATACCAACATTAATAGTCCACCGCTTAAAGGAATCCTTTTTACCTTTTACAGCTTCCATTACTTTGTTTGTTAACCATTCCATCTAAAAGGGAAGACCCCCCCTCTTAAAGAGTTCAGAGGTTTCATCTCAGCTAAGGAAAAATAAAAAAGACCATGGCCCCAACCCAGTCAAATAGAAGATGATTGGGAACTTCTTATTGATTTCATCTTCCCAGAGCCAGTATCTAAGCAGTGCACTGGTTTCATGAACAATCGAAAGTACCCTTGGAAACCTGAAGAACCACCCCTTCAAAATGACCCTTTATTAATATCTACCTCCCCTCAGCCGAACGTGGCTACTGTAGTGCATAACGGTACTAGTATAGGTGAAATTGAGGGCACTGAAGATAACTTATTAGCATCCTTTGGTGCCCTCCAACTAAGAGATCAGGACATGATCCAGAGATTACAAAGGTTGACTACCCTATATGACATTAAAATACAAGTTGACGGTAAATCAGATGAATAGTCCTGCTCAGCCAAGATGCCTTCAAACAGGCCCTCATAGAATGAGAAACTAGCTCTGCCCTTGAGTCCTTTTGGTCACAGGTTTCTGGATGGTTCAGCTGGGGATCCAGCCTCTAAAGAAAAATATATAATCCTGGAACATGACTGGGTGGGCTGCTAGGATGACAAGTGATGTTAAAGAATGCCTGAGTAGATTTGACCTAATACTACTTCAGGAAACATGAGTAAAGAGCAAAGTTTATCTCTCTGGCTTCACCTTGTATTATTTTCTACCATACTTGCAACTGATACTGGGAAAAGTGGAAGGTGCTCTGTAGGATTGATCTGTCTGATCTCAATAATCCTCAGTAAAGTCAGTGTTATTGAGTTACCTAATAGTCTTCCCTGTGTTATGACATTACTGGAATTTATGGAATTTTCTATAATTCCGGTGAACATTCATATCCCACCATTTTTCCATAATTTAAAATATCCCAGTGCTGGACCCAGTTAGAGGACTACTTGGAATCTTTGGCCAGGATTCATCCTACAACCACAGTACTTATCGCTGGAGATTTTAATGCTAGAATTGGGGAGACAAATGAGGACCTTTTTTGAAAATCTATAAACATTTGGATAAAAGGACTTTCTAATTAAAGGATCTGGCAGACATTTTGCATCCTTATTACTAAAGAATGATCTGATAATATTAAATAGATGTACAAGGTTTGATGGAAAAAGAGATTTTTCCTTTATAAATCATCTACGAGCAAGTGTAGTAGACTATTTTCTTGCTTCTGCTGACTTACTCAGAAGAGTGGAATCCCTGGAAGTGAAGGATTATTTGGGGAGGTGATCATTATTCTGTACAATTATTATTATGTCTAGATGTTTACCATCACTCACCTAAGGTAACGAACTTTGCACTAATCCAGACACATAACACCTTAAGATCACTGAGATGGTGTAAAGCCATTGAAGTGAAAGCGAAAACACAAATGAACTTGATAGAAACCAGATGTACAGGTCCCCAAATAATTGAGAACATGGCTAATATAGAATTTTTAATGGATTTAATGGACTTTTTCAAGCCTTCCTTGGTGACAGCAAAGCCCATGGGATAGGTTACAACCGACAGAAATAATTGGTATGATTCTGACTGTAAGGTGCTCAAAAGATAAATCAAGTGCCTATATAGACAGTTTAAGAACGTAAGTAAAACAGAGATATTGCTAAGTATTTTGTAATTGAAAAAAAAAAGAATATTAAAAAACTATTGAAATTTAAGAAGCCTGAGGCCCAGAAAAGAGATTGGGAAATAATAAGAGATCTTTGATGTGGTCTCTGTGCTTCACACCCATAGGATCTAGTGCGCACGCGCTGGATTGATCAGCATTGTAGCAAGCTCTTTAACGGATTTTCGCGCCCAGACCTCGGGCATGCGCAGGAACCCCACCACGCATGCCCAGAGGGGAGGGCGCGGACATCCCGCCAGTTCCTTCAAACTGCTGCGTTGGAAAGACCTTTTCTTCGTTGGTCTGATCGGTTCGCTTTTTTGGCTATTTGTCTCACGGCTCTTCGGATTTCCCCCCTCAGTTTTCTTCCCTTTTCTCAGCCTTCTTTGTTTGGTCTTCAAAAACTAAAAAAGAAGAAGTTGTTTTTGTGTTGAGGGGGAAGTTGTCGGTTTTACCTCAGTTTGGCCTTCGGGCTCCCCCCCCCCCTTCTTTCTTCTACATCTTTATTTTTTATGGAGAAGAAGTGAGTTTATTTTCAACCGCTGTAAGGGTTGCGGCAGCAAACTCGCTCCACCTGACCGCCACATCCTTTGTATTTTTTGTTTGGGGGAGTCTCATTGACCTGAGTCTTGCAGGCACTGTGCTAGGTTTTCGAACCAGACACGAAAAAACCGAGCTGCACGCCTTAAAGTGGCATTACTTGAGTCGGCGTTACATCCTCCCTCAGCTATGGAGTCCGAGAGACCATCGACATCGACGGCTCCGGCATCAAGGCCTGCCTCCGATATTGGCCAACCAACATCGAAACCACCGGCATCGAAGGCACAATCCTCCGCTTCTACTCCGGTGAAGAAGAAGCACAAGCCATGTAAGGAGCACAAGTCCGCAAAAAAGGGCTCCTCTAAGTCCCTAAAGGTGGGAAAAA